TGAAGATTTATTTTTATTGAGACGTTCCAAGTGCCTATGCTTTCATCAGTCTTAATTGTACGTCAATGCACGTGCGTCAAGAGCCATAAACTCAACACAATTTCATCTCTGTTATTGTTTACGCCTGAACGCGTGATTGATCAGGGAATTGGTGCATGTAAGAGGGAGACATTTTCTTTGGGGTTCCCAAAAACACAATTCCACTTGTGGGCCATTTCAATTGGAAGCTCTGCATAATGGACCATGTCGAATTTGGCGCACGTCTCCACCGCGGACAGCGCTTCATACTTGAACATCCCTGCGGTCGCGTGCGCATATCCCGCGGAACTGCGCGTCTCATCCGCACGCAGCGCTTAGGATCAACAGCAAAGCTGTGCCACGCAATCTTTTATCATGTCTCTCTGGATCAGAGAGACATATGTTGCGCAGACACATACAGAGAGACAACGTGCCTGAACAACGTCCCCAGAGAGACTAGGAGAAACGTGGGATACACATATTTATACGACAGTTTCTTGGAGCCAGGGCTAATGCAAACCCATAAGGTTTAAATCACAAAAAAGCAAAATTAAACTATCATTTAATTCACGTAACGTAATGAGAAATAAACCAAATTTAGAATAATAATAATAATACAATTTGAATAAAAAGTAATTTGTTTTGAGACTTGCCGATAGGGGACGCAACGCACTTATTAAATATGGCAGCGTACGTGTTTACGAAAGTGTGCTCCTCGGCTGCTCGTAAGTTAGACTGTTAGTTTCCATAGACTAGTAATATAGTTTACGTGGTATATTAAAATCGTAACCGAGAAATTACGTGTAAAACTGCGCAATGTGAAGATAAGCATAACATGCGGCCGTGTCAACCTCTTTCCACTCTCTTATAAATATAATAATATTGTTTTGTGGTGACTAGGCCTAGTGCCAGTAGTGGCTAGTGTAGTGGATTAGTAAACTTGAACTAAATTTCGCCTAAGACAAGTGTACCAGCACTACGAATATATCCATTAGAGTGCTGCCACATATGTGCAAAGTATATTGCACAAAATCTACACGTCTATTATAGCCTATAGGCTCCCTCGGCTCTGGATGTTTTAAGTTTGAGCCACCAATGGCAAAGTTATTTTTAGTCATCAATAAAAACTATGCAGTGGCTACGCGTCCGGAACCGGTCGCCTAGCCTACAGGCTACGCATCCGGACATCCACTCACACAGTGATCGCGCGACTTGCGTACACGCATGATTCCGCAACGGGACGCTCTGCTGATTGCATAAATATACAATATATGCACTGCTGCCATCTATCCTTTTATCCGTCCTCTCTCGCTCTCTCACACACACCTCTAGCTCTCTCTCTCTCTCTCTCTCTCTCTCTCTCTCTCTCTCTCTC